TTCCACTCGTCCGGCTTCGGCTGGCCAGGCGGGAGCGGGTTGCAGACATGGAACGGCAGCTTGAAATCGCGGCCGGTCAACAAGATGCGGAAGCCGGTGAATATCGGCGCGGGCATGACCTTGTTCTCCCTGCGAGGCATGAGCTCGGGCAGTTGCGCCAGTTGCTTCTTCTCGGCCGCCGTCAGCCCGCGAGTGATGTCCTGCGGCGTCTCCTGCCCCGCGTAAAGGCCCTTGTTGAGGTACTTTTTAACCCTCCTCTTCTTGGGCTGGGCGACGGCCTCTACCGGAGCCTCCTCGACCTTGATCTCCGCCTGCTCGACCCTTGCCTTCTTACGCGCCGGCTGGGGCTCCGCGGCCTGGCTGGGATCGACGTACTTGCCATTGGACCAGACGCTGTGGACGACGGGGCGGTCGTCGATGTGGTTGTACTCCTTTGTATCCTGCAGGCGCCGCAGCTCGCGTGTCAACCGGACTTCCTTTTCGATTTCGGCGCCGGCCGTCTTGCGCCCGCGTTTGCTGGTGACGGAGAGCTTGGCTGCAACAGCCGATACCGGCGTCGCGCCTGCGCTCGCGCTGCCACTGGGAGCGGTAACACGCGCCGTTGAGCGCAGGGAGCGTGGCGATTCCTTCGCCAGGCGTTGCGCTCGCGGCGTGCCCCGCCTGCCGGCAGAAGCCTGGAGGCTCAACGCGTCGGTGTTCGAGCCGGTGGCAGTGGATGATGTGTTGCGCGGCGCATCAACAGGGGCGTCGCCAGGCGTGACGGTGCTGCCCGCAATGGTCCGGCGCCGGCGGTCGGCGACAATATCGCCCTTGGCCCGGCGTTTGCCATGAGCGCTGGTGCCGCTGAGCTTGGCCAGGTTGTAGACGGGCAGGCTTGTCCGCGCGCGCTGAGGCCGGCGAGGCGAGGGCACGTCAGCCGCGGGCAGGGCGGGAGCTATCGCGATCACGGTCGAGTCGTTAGCCACGGTGATGACATCGTGCTTGGAGGTGTCCGAGTGTAGGCTGTCGGTGTCAGTGACCGTCGTCGGGGGCGTCGAGCTCGACGACGCGAGGTTGGAGGAGTCGTCCGTCGCGATCTCGATCGAGCTGCTGCTCTCGATGGCAGCGAGCAGAGACGACAGCATGGCTTCGATGTGACGATGTGACGATGTGACGATGTGCGAGATGCGAAGGTGCG